TTTCCCTGCCACAAATTTCCTCCAACAATTGACTAACAAGCCCTTTATCTACTATGTGTCATGCATTCCACTGAGCACTAAAAATGCCAAGTGAAATGAGGCGGTTCCTCGCCTCAGAAGCAGGGTTTATTAGGTACCTCTATTTGGTACCCTCTAGTAGGAAGCAGCAGAATATAAACCAAGATTCACATTTATAATATAGTACAAACAAAATACTGTAACAGCTCCCTGAATTGAGTCTTAAGAACACATAGCAGGTGATGACTTAACGCTAATTTTTTTCTCCAGCCCAGGCAGCCTCCCTTGGTCATGTCATAGACCCTGTCATCATTATAAATACAAAACCTCCCTATCCCAGTTCCATGCACTGCTATCCTTCCCCCATCCTAGGCCCACTCTGATTACTTCCTAGCTTTCCAGCTCATTCCCACTGACACCCGAACAAATCTTTCACCTCACTGGCATCTCTAGCCAATTATTCTGCCACCTATTATTATCTCACACCCTTCTTAATGTTTTCTCTCCCTTTCCTCCACAATTTGAACTCCACAGTTGATCATAACACTCCCTTCTAGTGTCCTTCATTCCCATTTCCACTGTTGCTTCATTATTCTGGCTCCACCGCACATGCACAACAGCTAAAACTACAACCCTGCTTAATCCAATGCTCTACTCACTCTGCCCAGTCTCTTTGCAGATGAATGTAGCTGGAAAACCAGTGAGCCAAGGTAATGGTCTCACTTCAGTTTCATGGCCTTGTAGGGGGTCTTATTCTTTAAGCAACCGCACTGTACTTCCCTCGTCCATTCACTTTTCCACTTTCCAAAATGCCATTATACATTCAGCCCCAACAAAATCAGTAACCTTAAATCTGACCTGGTTACATGGGACAATAATGTCCTCTCCCAAACCACCCCTTCGCACGTGAACTGTTGCAATAACTTCTAACTGATCTTGCCAATTTCACTTTTGCTCCGATGGTGTTTTAATTTTTACCTATAGTGATCTTTCAAAAACATATTTGATGGTGTTCCCTCATAAAACTAAAAAAATTGCCCAGCAATTTCAGTCCTAGGTATATGTGA